AAGAGGTCCTTCGTGTGCGGGTCCGTCGGCTGCTTGAACCCGGCGGCGTCCTCCACGCCGCCGGAGGTGCCCTTGGTGTTGACGTGGACGAGGACGATGGTCTGCCCCTTCTGGACCAGCGAGTCGATGGCCCACTTGAGCGCGTTCTGGCTGTTCTTGTCCTTGTCGATGCACACGGCCACCAGCGGGTAGCCAAGGTCCGTCCCGTCGTCCCTGCCACCGTCATAGTACGACCGCCCCATCTGTCGTCGTTGTCGACGGCGGCGTACGGTGTGACCCTCCTAGCTTCCGCCGGATTAATCGTTCGGCTCACGAGCCACAACACGACGACCGACGAGGATCTCAGTGTTGTGCCATGGCCAGATCGATCGATCAACGGACGGGAGGACGACGGGGGCACGCCGAGGGGCCGGGAGGGCACGTCGTCGGTCTTCTTCGCAGCTTCCTGCTCGAAGATTGACCTCCTGTTATTAAGCACGCCATTTTAGGGATGTTGTGGCCGTCTGGGCCGTACGTGCCGGCCGAAAATAGAGGTGTTCAGCGGGGCTTCAACCTCGTTCAACGGGTGGCCACTGGACAACGGATTCCTGCCCTTTTGGGACACGTGTTATATTACTCGAGTTTTTTTTGTTGCTCTTTGGAAACAAAGACACACAAAACCACCGTGCTTGCATTGCTGACGAGTGCACACGATTTCAACTTCTACCTCCTCCATTCCAAACTAGTATAGTTTATTTTAACTTTTCCAAAGTCAAACTTAACTTCTTTAACTTTGCCTAGTCTATAGGTACAAAATCATATCAAAATCTATACCAACAAATTAGTTTCACTAAATTTTTCATAAAATATATCTTGAAAGTGTGTTCATTTAAACTTGTAGATGCTAATATATATTTTTTATAAAAAGAACTTTGTCAGAGTTAATAAAGTTTCATATAGGATAAAGATAAAGTGAGCTATAATTTTGGGAAAAAAGAGGATTAGTATAACATCATGAATCTATAGGAAACACGTTTCATGCCGTCTAGAGCTAAATTTATTTTCCTATAGATTATGTAAGATGGTGAGATTTATTTCACTAATAGGCCATTACCTCTTTACTCATTTTCTTCCAAATTATAAGACATTTTAGCTTTTCTAAATATATTGTTTTTACTGTAAAGCTAATTCAAGTGTAATGTGCTTAATTCATTACAAAAAATTATTAGGTGACTATTTTCAAATATTACATTTGAAGTTTGCAGGTGTGTTTAGTTTGGTGGCTAGCACCCTATCCAGGCTCCAGGAATACAGTCAAGGTCTAGTTTTGTTTGGTTGCCTGTTTTGGGCTCGTAACCAGGCCCAACTAGTGCACCGACGCCTAGGTACCTAGAAAAGCTTGACCCTTCGTTTTCGCGGAGCCTGGCTTGTACAAACGACATGACCGATCCGCTCACCTCCGCGCTGTTTGACCGCGGGTCGCCTGCCTCTTCGTCGCCTTTGTTGCCGACATGCCGTAGCCCTGGGGTTCGCGCTTTGCCTCCAACCCATCAACCGCTGCCTCGACGTTCGTGCTCCACCTTTACGTCGCCAGCTGCCGTCTATGGATCTGCGCTCGGCCTCCACCCTACAGGCCAACATCCCTAGATTCGTTCTCTGCCTCTACCCCGTCGGCCGCCACCCAAGAGCCGTTCTCTACTTCCGCCCCGCCGGTCACCGCGGGATCCACGGTTCACTTCCACCTCGCTGGGCGTCGGCCGCTTGTGGATCCGCGCTCCATCCCCACACCGTGCGGCCGTCGCCAGAGGCTGTGCTAGTGGTGAGTATCCACCTCTTGCATGCCCGCCCCAAGAGCTCCGCCGCTGGGCTCGCACCTCCACCCGTCTATAGAGTCACCGATGCAGACGAGATCCAGATTAATTATAGAGCTGATGGAAGAAGAAGAACACGAGCTGAAGAACAAAGGTAGGTCGTGAGGGAGAGGTGATTTTGGCTAAGATTCACCTTCACTAGGAAGAGGTGATCCTATCTAAGCTTAGCTAGACTAGCAAACACGCAAACCAGGCTTTACTAGTACAAGCAAACGAAACACATATCTCTTGCATTACTCGAACCAGAATAGTATTTTCTCTCATCATACAAATCAGCTTTTAGTAGCAGATTTTTTTTTCAACAAAGGAAAGAATCGAAACGAACAAGGATACAACCGAACAAGTGCTAACGATCTAGATAAGCCAGGCTTTACTAGTACAAGCAAACGAAACATATGTCTCTTGCATTACTCGAACCAGGGTTGGGTTGCCCAAGCCTAGTTGGCTAGCTAGTCTAGTCTAGATCTAAAACGTGAACCAAACGAACCCTATATGCCGTGTACATGTCGCTAAACCAAGTTACCTTTGCCGGCTGTAATAAATAGACAAACTTTTTTTTATGACTTGGTTGGTTTAATTTACAACGACAATGTATTCAGTATTCATTTGGTTCCCCTTCAAAAATATCATGTGAACGCCTTAGAACGAAGCCTCAGGTTTATGCATGGGAAACAAAGTGTGCCTAAAGTTAAACATGTATATCCTTTACAGATATAGTGTACCACATTTCTGTGTCCATACTGTCTCAATATTTTTTACATATATATATTAGGCTCCTATCCTAGGGTATACCTGACCTTTGCTCAATTGTATAATTAGATTTATTCAAGTAACAGATTACAATATTGCAGCAGTATATTTTCTTTTCTCAAATCTCCTTCATGGTATTAACCATTTTGTTGATTTAATTCGGTTGGTTTGTTGGCCAAGGGCCTTTTCACAGGTTGCTTCCCTTTTTTTTACCAGAAAGTATGCATCACTCATGTGCTGATGAATTCATGTTATCTATTTTAGGAGATGGCAGAGGAGGCTGAGTCCTAATTTTTTTATCATTTCTTTCAATGTTTGTAAGCACCCCAATTTTAGATATTAATAACTTCTACTATATGTTTACTGCCGTTTAACCTATTGTGTTATATACCCCTAAAATAGAACTTATGTCTTTCAATTGAGGAGTGAAACAGTTTGATGTTTTTCCTCCAAAGATCAGTTTCATTTCTCTGTCATGTACACATGTTTGCTCGGTTACTCCTTAATGGTTCTTTCGACATTTTTTCTGACATTTTATTTGGTTCTAAACTCTCATGTTCCTAATTTTCCTCCACACCTTATTTTTGTCTTTATGCAAAGAACAATTCAACTGAAATCTATTTTATCTATACTACTATTTCAAAATATATCTATTTGGACTCAAAACTTCATCTACACTATGCCGTTGTTTCCTCAAAACAACACAATTTCTACTATTGCAACACAACAACACAATTTCTATTGCTGCAATTTCTTTTTTGTGTATTTGTGTTCTCAACGTTGGGACTACTCAATAGTAATAATACTCTAATCCATCCATGGATTGGGTAAATCCACCACTCAGCCACCGATGACCATCCATGGAATGCCGGAAAGCATTTGGATACTCGTGTGTTGTGAAGAATTGCATGCACGCTCGTGATATAAACAAATTGAGCTACAAATTTGAATTTAGTAGTCAGACCGTCACTAAAAAATCAAAGCCTATCGTCCATCTATAAAAAATCAAATAAATGTGCTAGAAAAAATCAGTAGTAGGATTTAATAAACCTGCTATAAAATTTTAAAAAACACAAAAGTAGAATTTCACCTAGAAAATATAGAGATTTAATAAACCTGCTATTGAATTACAAAAAACACAAAAGCAGAATTTCACCTAAGAAAATAGAGATTTAATAAACCTGCTATAAAATTACAAAAAACACAAAAGCAGAATCTCACCGAGAAAATAGAGAAACTAACATGCATGAGCATGGCTGAACATATTACAGGTACATGTAATATTTATAGGTTAACTAGAATCACTGATTCAGCACTGACCATCCAAGCACACACCAGGCGTACACATATGCATGGTTTTTAAAGTCTGCCACAAAAGTATAGTTTGAAGTCTACCAGGTGTTCTAGCTTTGAAGAATTTCTTTAACATGAAACATCCAAGCAAAAGACAGCTATGTATTTGGCAGCAACAGATAACTTTGGAGACAACTCCAGCACTAACAACTCTCCCTCCTTCCATCAAAACTTTTTTCCCTGCATCATTTGAAACAAAAGTAAAAGACAAAAGATTATTTGACATTGAACTTCAAAGATATTTGAAAATAAAATGGTCTCTCTACACTTCCTCTTGCTTCTTTGTCTCAGCATTCATGCTCACTAACAGCTAGAAATTCACTGCTACATTTTTCAACCAAAGAGACATCTATTATGTTCAGTGTTATCCTAAACGCTAAACATAAACAGTTGGTCACCTACCGTTTAGCCCATTATTCGGGCAAAATGGGTGTTTAAACAGGGAAAACGGCCGTTTAAACGGTCAAAACAACCGATTAAACGGAAACGGTGTACCACAATGTAGTGTTTAAACGGTGTGTAAACGGACTAAACGGCCGTTTAGGCAAACGGTGATTATGTTATGCAGATAGATAGATGCAAGAAGATTGCTAAGTAATTGCAAAACTACAAACTGCAATCAGTCACGAAGACAAAGGATTGCAATAATTTACACTATCAGAATTTCTGTGCAGACTGTACAAGTTTCTGACTTTCTGTGCAGAATGTACAAGTTTCTAAGAACTGTTACTTGTTCTTAGAAAATTCATTGCCAAGTTCCAACAAATAAGCTTCACTCCAAGAGGATATGCATATTTGGAACTGTTTTAACATGTGTATAGCATTGCAGCAGACTGACTAGTACATCTGCAGATGAACAAAATTCATGCCTGATGCTCCACAAATAATAATTACAGGCTACAGAGTACACAAATGATACTCCACAAACAATTCAACCTATGGGCTACCCACAAAAGTGATAATGCATCCATCCATTTCGCAAAACTAACTAATATATTCATCAGTTTTACAGAGGCAATAACAAGATGGAAGAGGAGCAGTACCAGATTACGCTGTTCTAATCTTCTTCCTTAACCACTTGAGTCGTGTAGAGTCTTTCGCGGTCATGAAAATGACCCTGTTTCGTGGATCTTTGAAGACATCAGAAGCCTCGACCTTCTCATCATCTGATAGATCTTCCATGTTGTCCACAACAGCAATGCACGCTTGGATGGGGAACTCATGCGCATTAGTTCTTGCCCTTTCTGCTGCACAGGTTCAGCCTCGGCTTCCTTCTCTTTCAGTTCCAGAAACCATCCCATCATCTCAACAACCCTCCCATCTTGTCGGCGTTTGAATCCTGCCCTTTCCGCTTTATCACTAGACACTGGATTTTTGTTTCTAGAAGTAGCAGGCCTTTTCTCTCTTTTGTTTAATGATGAACTAGTGGTTGGTTGGTCCACAATTCTGACCTCATCATCATCATCCATAGCATGTCCAGAAGGGGTCAAAAGGGCCCTTTTCAGTTTCTTCCCCAATATAATTGGCTTGTGTCATGTCAGATTGAGAAGGTTGTGTGGTAGCATCTTGATAAGGATGTGTGACAGGAACTTGGAAAAAAGGATGTGTGATTGCACCTTCATAAGGCTGTGTGACAGGAACTTTGGAAGAAGGTTGTGTGTGTGTGATACCACCTTGAGAAGGCTGTGTGACAGGAATTTGGGAAGAAGGTTGTGTGATACCCCCTTGATAAGGCTGTGTGACAGGAACTTGGGAAGGGGCTATGGAGGTAAAGTTTAAGGTTCCCTCAGCAGTTTGTCCTGCACCAAAAAATGAAGTAACTAATGATTAATTCAACTGAATGCGACATGTTTGATTGCAAGGAAGATAAAGCTTTAGCATTGATGACATACCATCATATAGCTCTCCTAAAGACTCAAACAATGGGAAAGATTTATTCCGAAATCTCTTGGCCTTAGGATGGGACTATTGAATACAATAATGAAAAGTAGTTAGCAATAGAGGTTAAACCAACAATACATTTAAGAATTTAACAAGAATTAATAGTTATAATTGACAAGAAATCTCACAGTAATAATGTTGTTCCAAACAGCTTCATCTCCCTCAATCCTGCACAGCTTTCCATTCCAATGTGCACCACTTTGTTTTCTTGCTTCTTTTAGAACTCTGTATTCCCTCTTTAACTCTCTGTCTTTGTCTTGGATTTGAACCTTTGTAAAATTGGCATACGGGAACTTCTCATGGAATAATTTGACAATTTTGTTCCATGCTTCTGTTGACCACCCATTCTGTCCCCTATAACATTCATTGTTGTGCTCATGAAGGTCAATCAAAGCCTTTTCAAGTCCCACATTCCAACACGCTCTAGAATGATCAACTGTCACAAAAAATGTAGCAATTAGAATGGAATTTTTGCTGCAACAAGCCTACTTGCATCTAATATTCAATTAGAAGCAAGAAAGCAACAACGGCCTGTACAGCCGTTGAAAAATGGAAGTTCAGCAGGCCCTAAAGCAGCAACAGCCAGTACAGCAGCAACAGCAGCCAGTACAACCTACTGAACTGAACAAGTAATAACAGGACATACCTTTAGGTGATGGTTTTCTCTTTTGTGTGCTTGAAATCTTTGGAGAAGGCTTTCTTTGGACTGCTACAGCTTTCATCAAATTGATCCTCAGAGACCCCCTTCCAAACATTATTACTGTAAATGCAAGAATCTGATATTTAGCGCATTATTACTGTAATAAAAACAGGTTGTTGCAAATAGAAGAACCTGACAGGGAATAAAAGTAAAAAACACAAAAGTAAATTAATTCAAAACTAGTTAAGACTCACATTAGGACGCGTTATGATTGTAGTCATTCCATATATTTAGTGCTATCATATCTCTAACTGTGTTCCCATCCTCTATTTGGCTGCTAAGAGACATCACATCATTATTGTAGTGGTTGTCACCTCCAGGGAGATCAACAAAATGTTCTGGACATATATTGCTTGTTTGGCGATTCAACCAACCCTCATCCCCATTTTGCATCCGTGTAAGATTGTGGAGCAACACTGCTGCAGCTGGTATCTTCACTTGGTTTTCAATGGGAAACGCAACGAGACAATTCCTTTCATGTACTCCTAGAAGCTCTCTAACCTTTTCTTCACCAGACTGACTTGAAGTATGCCTTGCTCTTTTCTCTCTCCCTCATTACTAGTTAGAAGATATAGGGCAGGCAAAAAGAACAACATAATCTCCTCATCCTCCTCTTCTTTTCTCTTCCTAATTATCAAATCCATTATCTTCTAACTAGAAGGCAAACTGAATCAAAGATGGCTGCAGCTAGCAAAAAGCAAAAAAAAAAGGTTTCAGAAGATAACTAGCTACAGCCCAGAGGTACAAGGAAAAAACCACATTGTTAACAATGATATTGCATTAACAGAGCATGCAGATTGAGTATACATTATGAAAGCACATAACACTCAATAACAGAGCATAATAACAAATAAATACGAGTATTTATTACACGATCATCAATCAGACAAAGCCTAGTATCTAAACTTAGTGCTCCAACATGACAGCAACACTACATAAACAATAGACCATCAACTTCAGAAACTGTCCACCACAGTTTAACCCATTAGATGGTAAACCACATATGCAATATGCACATATAAATGGCACTGTCCATGGCAGTTTAACCATCCTTCATCAAAAAGGAAATCCATCAACTATATTAAGGTCGGATGCGCATAGGAAATAAACAAGGTAGATACACAAGTTTAGAAAATTAAAGGAGCATAAGCTTTGAAAATTAAGGATAGCCTCAAGCTAGCCTCTGCAAGCTCTCCCCCTACCCCTGCACGCCACTGCATAGGAGGCAACAAGATGCTCTCCCTGGCATCTGGGTCTCTCATCTCATGATGGTTTTCCTAAAACAACTAGGGGCTGGGGCTGGCTGAGACTGAGACCTCTGTTCCTGAGGCAGAGAGAGGCCAAGAGCAAGCTGCCCCTAAACTGTAGATGCAACAGCTCATGTGAAGCACGAGAGAAGGAAGAAAGTTTCTGCAGCTTCTTCCCCTTGTTTGCCTCTCCCCCCACTTGACCCTCACCCAGCATGCATGCACGCCACAGCACAGTTTCCATCACCAATCACCATGCATGGAGGAATGTAAGGCATGTAGGATAGGATGGTAGCAAATTTACAGAGATAAATAATGACTGGCCAGGGCAGAGGCATCCATCCATCTAGCAGCCTCCAGGGAGGTGAAAAAGAAACTACTACACCACACACACTACCATGCCATTGGCCATTCCCATGCATGCTGCTCTCATGAATAGAAGATTCTCCTCTCCCACACCAGTGCAGTGCTGGGAGAAATGGATTGATAAATGTAGTAGATAATAGATATGTCACAACTGGATTGATAAATGCTGTTCCTTTCTGGCATACTGGGCAGGATTGCTTAAGGAAGACCTAAAAGAGCAGATGATCCAGGGAGCTGAGGTGATGAAGACAGCGGCCCTCTTCTTTCACTCTCAAGATCTGAAGGCGTGCTCGCAGGAGGAGCGTCAGCTGGTGCCGTTCGCTGGCTAAAGATAGAGATCAGCAGTCTGTTTTTGCTTTTTGGGCATGGTGCCCTGTAATGGAACACTCTTGGTTGCGTCGGTCGGGCTGGGTAGACGTTATCTTCAGTGTGTCTGTAGTATTAGCGCGTTCATGCATGTGTTCCCTGTGTGATCATGTGTGTGAAGGTTATCTGATCTTTTTGTCGATGGTAGCTGGTTTCGAACTGCTGAACTTTGTAATTTCATTGCCTTGGTAATGAAATTCGGTTTTACCGTTGTGGAAAACAAAAATATATATGTCACAACTAAATCACAATTAATTATGAATGCAGAAAGAAAACTTGCAAAGAAATTAATGATTGGATCTTGCCTTGTATTCAAAGGTTTTTGTAAAAAAATCAGATAATAACAACATGCCAAGCAAGAGATTTGGTCTGTAACTACAACCAAATATATTTGCAATTGAGTATACATTATGACAGTTGACAGCACATAATACATCTGCCTTGAGCCCTTGATTATGGATACATATACTTCCTACCCAAGAACTCGCTATAAATCAGCCTCACATTGTGCACCGCACATCAAGCAAGAATGACAAAGTCTTCCGCTATTCATTAATTTCACAGAACTAATTAATGTATTCATCAGTTTCACAGAGCAGTAATAAGATGGAAAATGAGCAGTACTCCTACCAAACAACAAACAATTCAGTCCACAGCATCCATCAGTCACTAATAATAATAAAAAAGGAATACGCAAGATTTGAACCTGGTACTTAGTCAGGTGGCAGAGGAGGGCACAATTCAGTCTTCTTGGGCGCGAAGGTTGAGGAGGAGGAGCTTCTCCTTATGGTACACCACCCACTGATCTTGGATATCCTAGCAGATCTAGCATAGGAACGAGGTTTTCAACAAAGGAGAAGATCAAGAGGAGGGGTGGAAGGTGGAGGAGGAGAGATGCACCTGGAGGAACTCGAGGTGACCGAGGTGGCGTGGGAGCAGCAGCCGCCGCCGGCGTCGAACCCTAGCAACAAAACAATGGATGAGGAGGAGAAAGGGAAGGGAAAGGAGATGAGGTCGAGGAGGAGATGGAGGAGGAGTTGCCACCTTGATACACCGAGGAGCTGTCGGGGTGACGCCGGCGAGAAGGTGGCGATGCGAGGGGGACAAAGGGATTTTTAACTTTTTGCCATCCGCACGCGCCGAGGCCGCCCAGGCTGCCGCGCGCCAAGGCTGCACGCGCCTAGGCCGCCCAGGGCGCTGCGCGCCATGCCAGGGTCGGCGGTCTCCTTCAACCTCTCCCACCGCCACAACTCGTAGACACGGCCGTGCTGCCGGGCGCCGCCGCCAGAAACCGCAGCTGCTGCCCGGCGCTGGCGGGACTCCGCGCGCTGCACAACGCGTTCGTCGCCAATGCCGTGCTCGACTCCGGCGTCGTCAGGCCCGCGTGCACACTGGCCTCCCACACGCCACCGCACCCTTCATCCACATCTGAGCTAGCTCTGGAGCTTCGCGGGCGTGCCGGTGATGGTGGCCGCCGACGCCGGAGCTTCGCGGCCCCCGCGTCGTCCTCGCCTACAGCCCGCCGTGCCGCCCTCCAGCACCGCCCGACGCGTAGGCCTCCCGCACCACCCGACGCGCAGCCCGCCGTGCTGGAGGTTGAAGATGAACCTGACTTGAGGGGTGCGTGCGGATGACAATAAGTGACGCGCGCTCGCCTCCTCGTTGGACAGAGGTCGAAGATGAACCTGACTCGTGGGGCCTACATGTCAGCGAGTGGATGAAAAGAAACAGCGGTGGTCTTGAGAAGCGCTGTCACGTTGGCAGACTACGCGTCGTATCACATCAGCGAAAATATCAAATACATACAAGTCTTATCGTTTCGTGTGAGAAATATGCAGTTGCCTATGAGGAGTGTAAGGACGGCAGAAACCTTAAAAATCCCGCCCGTTCCACGCCACCGGTGGAGATTTTTCTCTCACCCGTCGGTCAGGGTGGATCAGGCCGTGATCCACTTCCACACATGACGTGCCAAATGCGAAATTGGACATACGCTCTATTTGTTTGGGCTGATTTGATTTATAAATAATGACTAAAAGTACTATTAACTGATTTGGTGTGAGAGAAAAATACTATTTGTTGATTGATAAGCAGGGGCGAAGCCCCGTTGATTTTGGGTGGTGCATCGGCACCAGACAAAAAAAATATTTAATACTAAGTATTTTATTTTAACCATAAAATCAGTTATAAGAAGGCAATATTTCTATACTACTATTAACGTTATGCACCACCATAAATTTAGTACTAGCTTCACCCCTACTCATAGTTAAATACGAACGAACATGGGTTCTCATCCCGGCCTGGACTGCATTCCACGTGCAGCGTGTTTTTGGGCCTGATACACTCTAATACATGGGTAGCTAAGGCCGTCCCCGACGTCCCAGGCTGGACAACAGCCCAGGCCCAACGTCGAAGCCTTTGCTCCATGTCACCTCAAACAGCAGCCCCGTAGGGCGCAGATGTTCCTGCAGAGGAACCGTGTGCTCCATCTGACAAAAACCAGAGCACGTGCTTGAGCGAGCGTTGGAGAGAACAACCAGCCTTTTCGTTTGTTGATTTCAGCCAACTTAAATTAGTCAGTTAACAGTATTTTTCTCTCATAAAAAATCAACATCAGCCAGCCTAAACTAGCACCAGCATCAACCAGCGAACATGCCCAACATGTGTCTTGGAGAGCAGAAGGATGAGGGGAAAGCTGCAGAATGGACAGTGGTGGGGATGGAAAAAGTGCTGGCTGCACTGGGAGATTGATAACTTACAGTACTCCTAAAATTTATGTCACATTAAATGTTTAGATGTTAATAAAGAGCATTAAATATAGATTAATTACAAAATCAATTACATAGATGGAGGCTAATTTTCGAGACGAATTTTTAAGCCTAATTAACCTGTCATTAGCACATGTTTACTGTAGCATCACGTTGTCAAATCATGGACTAATTAGGCTTAAAAGATTCGTCTCGCAAATTAGTCACAAGTTATGCAATTAGTTTCGTAATTGTCTATATTTAATACTCCATGTATGTGTCCAAACATTCGATGTGACAGGAATTTTAGGAGTTCCTGTAGGAACCAAACAACCCCTTAACTCAGTTTGGTCTACGTGGAGTTCGAGGCATATGATTCCTGCTGCCCGTGTTGAACCTGCCCTAAACGAGGTTCATCGCGCGACGCAGGTCCACCCCTACCGCCCACCCCACCCTTAGTTGGCGTCGGAGACGGAGACCTCGCTGGCGGTTAGGGTTGTGGCATCTCTCGCTCTCACACTCTCTCTCTCTCTCTTCTCTCCCAACTTCGGTGGGCTTACAAGTGAGTTCGGGGGAGACAGGTCGGCCAGGCGATGGGGACGGCGGGAGGGCCGCGTTAGGGTTCTATCGCCGGTGGAGGCTGCCGAGCTAGGTTGGGGTGGGAGCGGCCATGGCCATGGTGGAGCTCCGAGCAGAGAGGGAGGGGAAGGAGAAGGTCACCGCGGGTGGTAGGGTCTCACCGGAGCTCCACTCATAGTCTCCAATGCACACGTGAGCCCGCCTCATCTTTCGCCGTCGCCGCCGCTACCACTCATCCACGATTTGTCCATCACGGGCGCGCTCCATGCGCTCACCAAGGGAGACAGGATACTTGATTCATTCGCTGCCGCTGTCACCACTTGCCGCCGCCACCACGAGGATACCTACCCACATGATATCTTTTTTCTGTGATTTTTGCAGGTATTTTTGGGGATTTTTTTCTTCGGATTAGACTGCATGCTGGGAAAAATTGTGTGGGCTTTTGGGGCTTTTGGTGCTAGGACATTTGTGAGCAAGGAGGTTAACAACAAAGGTCACCAAAGCAGTATCCAGCTGAACACAGTTACATATTTTCATCGAAATCTCTTTCTAGCAGACGAGGACATTAAGGCATCTTGCTGAACTCCAAGTAAAAGATCTGTAAATCCTCCTTGGATGTATGGTGCAAATATGATAGAAGATTGCGCGGGCATAGAATTTGTAATGTCAAAATTGATGACTTACGATTAAATGGTTCTGATTAGCACTTCCGTCTCTATTTTCTATAGCCTTACTTGTATCTCCTGTTTTGTACCTGCAGTGCATCATTATAACTATTATCCGAGGAATTCTCTTTTGCTGCGGTCATCACCATCTTGAACATCAACAATAGCAGCACCATCGAAGGCAGCGTTTGCTTCCATGGTGCCTGCGTGCATGGATGGAACTTTGAGATGCTCTCCCCTACCCTTAGCACGCCATGCGCCAAGGCAACAAGATCTCTCCCTACCATCATCTCATGATGGTTTTCTAAAACAACTAGGGGCTGGGGCTGGCTGATCTGCTTGTCCTGTTATAGATTTTTTTTTTGTCACTCTACACGTGATTGTGGCGGCCGTCCCGAAATCCAATGCCCGCGATCGTTCACTGGGAACGAATCCAGCGAATCATCAGCTAGTCCCACAAGTTTCCTTATTTGAAAAAAATAATTTCCGTAACTTCCTGTTTTTAGAAAGTAAAAATAATTTTCGCAACTTTCTGTTTTTAGAAAGTAACTAAGTTATTATACATATATGTTAGAACATTTCTAAAAGTACCATATATTCCTTTCCTATCCTTGTTTTTTTGAAAAAAAGAGAAAATCTTATCTCCAAAAGTATCTCATATCCCTTCTCCATCTTTAGACACTTGGCAAATCGGCCTGTGTCAAAATACGCGCACCCTAGAGCCGCGCTGTCTCTTCCTCCCCACGACGATTTGCCGCGTGGCCTCTCCTTCGCGCCGTAGCACGTTCACGTCGTCGTACAGCTGCAGCAGCATCAGGCCCCTCGGTGTGGCGCCGCCGCCTTCGGCGTCCACGTCGTACACGACGGGTCACTCCTCGGGCGAGCCCCAGCACGAGTCGTTGGACATCATCAGCTCCGACGCCGTGGCGCCGCCGGAGGCGGCGAGCGCCGCCATCATCGCGGCCGCGAGGAGCA